TTAATGGATGTCTGCACTATTTCTCTTCAATTTGAGTGGTGCCACATCAGCAAATGGAGGTTTCAAAAGCTTTACCTTATCCATAGGAGTAAGGCTGGGTTTACTCAGATGATGCAGCTCTTTCCCAGTCCTATTTTGAGAGCCTTCTAACCTAACCGGACTATTCATAAAGTTGTGCGGTAATGTATTTCTTTGCTATTAATAAGGTTTTCCCTGGCCAATTCTTTAAAAAGTGGACGGCCTCTTCCTTCTTCCTAGTCTGTCTCAGTCTGTAAGCTGGGATGATACCTGTGCACCATGTGCATCCCGCTGGGTTAGAAACACCAGTGACTCAGCCTCAAAACTCACATCAACACGTCACCATGGTAGGACAAAGCGACAGACAAGTTTGCCTCCCTGTTGGAAACCTCTCGTACCACCCTTACCTGGGTCCCTGTGGGTGACTCCTCCTCTGTCCAGATTCCTAGGCCTTTTAATCCCCTTTCTCCCACTCTCCCGCCCTGCTGCTTTGGGCGTGCCTGAGTTCCTCTCTTCACCTGGATCCTTGCAACTGACTGTTCCTCTGTCTCAGTTCCTGGCTTTTAATCCCCTTTTTCCTGCTCTCCCGCACTGCTGCTGCTTTGGGTGTGGCTGAGTTCCTCTCCTCACCTGGATCCCTGTGGCGAATATTATTGTTAGATGCCATCAGATGGATTCAGACTCATAGTGACCCTACGTGTGCACAGTAGACCTGCTCCAGAGGGTTTTCAAGGACCTTTCAGAAGCAGCTTGACAGATCCGTCTTCTGAGGTACCTCTGAGTAGGTTCAAACTGCCAACCTTTCTGCTAGTAGTTGAGTACTTAACCATTTCCACTACCCAAGGAATCCTTAATTTGGTTTAGAGAGCATCAAATATGCTAAAAACATAAAATCTAGAAGGCATGTTACAGCCCAAATGCAACTGGTCAAACTGACCAAACGAAGGAGAAACACAGGCAGTAGGTCAAGAGTTGAACAAACAGTTCTGGCCTATCCTCAAACTGAAAAGAAGGGGCAGCAAGAACCTGTGGAGAAAAGTACACCTGCTGAAGCCAGAGTAGAGCCCACATCCTGCAACAATCTGGGGACGAAGGATACAGAGTCCCCAATTCCAGCAGGCTCTGTTCCTCCCAGGAATAATAAAAGGCATGTGCATGGGGCAGAACATATTCTGAACCCCAGGATCCTATCTCACCCACAGGATCTATGTAAGGCCAGTCAAGCTGGTCTACTGTTATCTTGCCAGTCTATAGCATCTTCTCCCAAAATGCTTCCTCAGCAATTAGGGCTTAAAATCTAACTAAAGCCAAGGGACAAACAGCAAGCATCCATTTGAGGTAGAAAGAGTTTCTCCCAAAGTATCACCCAAAAAAAAAAAAAAAAAAACCCCTCACTGCCATCAAGTTGATTCGGACTCATAGTGACCCCTCCTTGGGTTTCCGAGGCAGTATCTCAGGTAGATTGCCCAGTCTTCGTTCCGAGGAGTGGCTGGTGGGTTTGAACAGCCAGCCTTCTGATTAGCAGTCAAATATCTTAGGCACCACACCACTAGAGCTCCCAAAGTATCACAGGAGTCAACTAATAATTATCAAAGCCTTCCACTTTAAGAGGCAGATAAAGGAACAGAAGGGCAGGCATCCCTGATGGCCACAGGAGGTAGATATAGAAGGAAGGGTGAGGACTCTGGGATTCCTCAAATGTTGGATCTTTAACCAGGAGTAGGGCCACAAACATTCACCTGGGCAGACCAAATGGAAGCAAGGCCCTGGGACAATTCTGTTGTGAAACTGAAAGCTACTGTCATGAGTTTTAGGGTTTAGAGTTGAACAGAGCTGTTCCTTTTTAATCAGGCTGTCTTTCCATAAAGGAACTAGCTCAACTGGATTTCACTGAGGAATCAGTGCATCAGACTCCTTCTAAGAGGCTTTCTGGGTGAGTTAAAGAATAAAAGTGGTTGGTCATTCACCAAATAAAAATGAGGACATATGGCCATTTGGGAATTGATATATCAGTACAATTTATATGCTTTGGACAATGGTTCAGATGAAATGGTTGATTGCCTCTGTCGCCTGAGAAATAGACGGCCAGCTAAAGCAGGGATACATGAGACCAATGGTCTCAGAAGGCCAGAACTTCTAAGTGTTATGTGGACAGGCCTCACCCTATCTGGCTCAAATGTGTAGTGTGGGTAAAGGGCTGCTTTTCACACTGTCACTGTCCACACAGCCTGGTGCCAGCATTCCTTCTCCACACACACTTCTGGATGAGCACTGCTCAGATCTCAAAACTAAGAAGTAATCCTGACCCAGCCTTCCTTACCTGATCATTATCAGTCTCTTGAACAAAAAATGCTTCTCCATTATCTCCCAATTTCATGTGCAAATCCACAGACTCTCCATTAATTTCTATATCAACCTGAAGGAAAAAGATATTTTTAAGAAAGTAATAAGCTGCCTTCACCATAACAAGAAACCTCGTAGGGGATAACCATGTATGTATCTACATACACACTTTATACCAATATACACCCAAAATATCTCTCAATTCCAAATCCCAATCAGTTAACCCAGTGTGACTGCCCTCATGGAGACCTATGCACTCAGGGGTTGTGGTCTCTAGAGAGCACATAGCTAACCATGAAGGACAGAACTCAGGTGAAAGGCACCTTGGAAACTACCAGGCTCAGCTCCTCCTTTTCCAGCTAAAAGGATGAGGTCCAGATAAAGGAAATGACTGGCCCAGGATCACACAGCTGGTCAGTAGTAGAGTTCAAACTGCAATCAAAGTCTCCTTAGGCCCCTTTAGAAATTATACCCTGGAACAGTTTGTTAGCTAGGATCTTTGAAATACTCTCAACTAATAGTTTTCAGTTGAACTTAATTCAAAGAATTCATCATAATACATTATTTAAAATTTCATTGTAAGTAAGGGCATGAAATACATAATTTCTTTTAATATTTTTCTTTCAATTTGTTTGATAGGTTGTATTCACCAAAACGTACTCACATCAATATTTCTAGACCTATGTCCTCTTCCAGAACCTTGCCACTTCTTGCCAATAAATAAAGTCTAGTCCCCTTCCTCTTGAGGATGGGCAGACTTGTGATTATCTGAACTAATAGAATATAATACAAGTGATACTATGTGGCCCATGAGGCTAAGCCATAAAAAGGATACAGCTTCTGCCTGGTTTCCTTTCTCTTGTGATGTTCGCCCTTGATACCATGCCACCGTGTGGTGAACGAAGGGTAGACCACATGCAACAGCCATCTGTAGGTGTTCTGGCCAAAAGCCTCACTAATATCCTAGCCAAGAGCCCAAATCAACCACCAGACACGTGAGTGAACAAGGTTTCCTTCAGATGACTCCAGGCCCCATACAGCCCTGGAATCTGCCAGCAAAAGCCCCAGACAACACAACACAGAAACAAACCATCCCTGCTATGCTGTCTGCATTCCTGACCTATGGAATTTATGAGCATAATAAACAGTTGGTTTATGCCACTAAATTCTAGAGTAATTTACACAGTCATAGTAACTACAATAATTTGAATTAGTAATTGTCCATTTAGTCAGTAGCCCTTTCCAACTGAAAGCTAAAAATTTGGATCTGAGAGAAGCTCAAGATGTTCAAAGTCACAGACGTACAATGATTTTCTCTGAGGAGACAATCTGTCTACCAGGGTCTTCTGCTCTTACCACTTTCTCTCGGGAGCGTAGCACCCCCATCTTCCCAAAGCGGACATGGAAAGGGGAGCACTGAAGGTTCCCATTGGGTTGGCGAACAACAATGATATCAATGCATCCAGACAGTGTAGCAGGATTCAGCCCCTTGTAGAGTTCCTTCACCGTAACAAACACCTGGCCCGCCAACTGCCCAACGTAATTCATGGTTTGAGCCTAGAAAATAGACAAAAGCAAACAAAACATATATACACACAAAAAAAATAATTCAAGGAAGGCCACTGAAATCCAATAAAAATGAACCACTCTTCACATTTCAAAAACATATCAATGTATGTTAAATTCCACTTTTCACTTTTAAATCTTGTACATATCATTTTGTTTCCCTATAATGTGCTCCACATTACTCACCCCCACCACCTATTCCTGCTTCCCCGAACAGCAAACTCACCAAATACCACCACCATCCCATGAAGCCTAAGTGTAGTTATCACATTGCGACTACGGTCCCATTGACCTGCCTTATTCTGCCACTATTGACATGTTTTACAGAACTGAATCCTAAGACTCTTGAGAAAAGAGACTATACTTTATACTTTGAACATCTTCATATACTCCCAGAGGAAGTATTTAATAATATTACCTGGAAAAATGACTAATTGCACTTGAGAAGGAGAAAAAAAAAAAATTTTAACTATTTCCACTCCAGTCCTTGTCCGCTTATCTGATTTCTCTCTCACCATGCCAGGGGATCACTGTGCTCTGCTTCTGCCTGTCTGAATAGCTAATTCACTCAGCAGACATCCAGGATATCTACTCTACAAATGGCCTAGTGCCAGGGACACAGAGATAAAAAATGCACAGTGCCCATCACCTTAAAAGGCCCATAGGCTCACGAAGGAGAGAGAAGCAAATATAAGTAACTAAAATATACATCAATGTTCTACTCTGACACACATGAGGCAGCCATGAGTCGGCATCAACTCAACAACCACTAGTTTGTTTAAGGTTATTATGTGTGTTTGTTTTAAATAAACACTAAAGAAGGTGTGACCAAGGAAAGAAAAGAATGTATCATAGAGCAAGGGGTACTTGAGGGGGGTGTGGTGGAGGGATAGAACACTTTCAGGTAAGAAGGTAGAAAAAAGGGAACTCTAGTTGAAGGAGAGGTATGCATAAAGGCACAGAAGCCTGAATACTCGGGGCACAAAGAGGGAACTGTGCCTTGGACAGAGAACATGCAGGAAGGTAGAGCTGAAAACCAAGCTAGGAAATTTAGACTTCACTATGCAGCAGTGAAAAGGCAGAGAGATTCTGGACAACAAATTGACAATTAGATCCATGATTTAGAAAAAGCAGCATAGCTAAAAAAAAAAAAAAAAAGAGAGAGAGAGAAAGAGAAGACCAATGGAATAGAATCAAGAGTCCAGAAATAAACCCACACATCTATGGTCAATTGATTTTTGACAAAGGTGCTAAATTCATTTGATGGGGAAAGAAGGATCTCTTCAATAAAAGATGTTGGGAAAACTGGATATCCACATGCAGAAAAATGAAACAGGATCCATGTCTGACACCATATATAAAAAGAAATTCAAATGCATTGTTGTTGTTGTTGTTATGTGCTGTCGAGTCGACCTGACTCACAGCGACCCCTCCTTGGGTTTCCGAGGCAGCATCACTATGGAAGTAGGTTGTCCCATCTTCCTTCCGAGGAGTGGCCGGTGAGTTTGAACCGCCAGCCTTCTGATTAGCAGTCAAGTGCCTTAGGCACTACGCTACCAGAGCGCCTAAGGACCTGAATTTGAAAACTAAAAACCATAAAATTCTTAAAAGAAAATGCAAGGGCAGCATCGTCAGTAGTAGTTTTTATCAATGGGTTATCTAATAAAATAACAAAGGCACAAATAGCAAAAGACAAAATAAAAAAGTAGGACCTCATAAAAATTTTAAAACTTTTCTTCATCAAAAGACTACAAAAAAAAGAGAAAAGACAAGCTACTGACTGGGAGAATATCTTCAGAAACCACATATCTGATGGATAAAATATGTATAAAACTTGACAACAAAAAGACGACCCAATCATAAAATAGGCAAAATACTTGAATAAACATTTGAGGACATTAAAATGGCTACCAGGCATATAAGATGTTCAACATCATTAGCCATAAGAGAGATGTAAATCTAAAGCACAATGAGATACCATTTCAGTCCCAATAGGATGGCAAAGACTTAAAAAAATAAATAAATAAGTAACAAATGTCGGCAAGAATGGAGAAACTGGAACGCTTACCCATTGCTGGTGGGGATGCAAAAGGGTATATAGCCACTGTGAAAAAAAACAGCGTGGTGGTTCCTCAAAGAACTAACATTAGAACTACCATATGACCCAGCAATTCCACTCCTGGGTATATATCCAAGAGATTTGAAACACTGACTCAAAAAGAGATTTGTATACCAGTATTCATGGCAGTACTATTCACAATAGCCAAAAACCTAAATGCCCACCAACAGATGGCTGGTGGTTCAAACCCACCAGCCACTCCTCGGAAGGAAGGTTAAGCAATCTACTTCCGTAGTGATACTGCCTTGGAAACCCAAGGAGGGGTCGCTATGAGTCGGGGCCGACTCGACAGCACACAACAACAAAACAACATATATATATAGTACATACATCCAACGGAATACTACTTAAGCCAATATGAGAAATGAAGTCTTGATACATGCTACATTACAGATACAACTTAAAGACATTATTCTGAATGAAATAAGCCAAGCACAAAAGGCAAATATTTTCAGATCTCACTTATAAAAAGATAACAAAAGGCAAATGTATAGAGAGCAAAGTTTCCAAATGGTTACAAGGGGTGGGAGAAAGGTGGAAAAGAGGGGTTAACGGTTATGAAAAAATCATATTGATTAAGGGTAGGGTTGCACAGCCAATTATTGTAATTGCAGTTAATAAGTTGTACACTTGTAAAAAGTTAAATTGGCAAAAACTGTATGACAGATATATTTACAAGAACAAAGAGTAGCTGCTGAGGCTGCTTATATATAACCAAACACCTCATGGGATTTGGTTCCTTGGTTTGGAGGTTTAGGGTCATGGTTTCATGGGACACCCCAGTTAATTAGTCTAATAACATGTGTAGTCCTTCTGTTCAACTTCTTAGTTCATTGTTTAGTGCCTGGGGTTTTAAAAGCTTATAAGAGGACATCCAATGCACAACAGTAGAAGATGAACAGACCCTCTCTTCTCTTTATATACTTCTTCTCCGTATACACTTAATGCCTTGGTGGACTCATGAAGTCACATGGCTTCAAGGAAGTAGAGTCAGAAATAGGAGGAAGATATGGAATCTGTGGCTAATTGTCTCCATGAACACTTATCTCCTTTCCATGAGACCAGAAGAACTGCATGGTGCCCAGCTACCATTACTGATCATTTTTATCAAAGATTCCACAGAAGAATTACAATCAAAAGGGGAGGAATGCAAAACAGAATTTAAAATTTTCATGTGCTGTAGACTTTCTGGAGCCATGGAGGGTGGATGAACCCCATAAATGATTGCCCTGAGAAAGAATTTAAACTTTAAACTAAAAATATCCCCTGAAGTCATCTTAAAACCAAATAATAGTTTAGCTTAACTAGTTAAAAAAATTCTGCCTTACACATGATATTCTTTTAAGAGTTACCTATATGAGATGAAACTGACAACAGCAACTCAAAAGATTAGACCGGGAACCTTAGAGGGCAGTGAAGTCTATGTTAATGAGGGAGGAACAACTCAGAAAATGAGAGTGAGAATGGCTGCACAACTCAAAGAATGAAATCAATGTCACTAAATTGTAGATGTAGAAACTGTCGCACCGCTGTATGTTTTGCTGTGCACACTCTCAACATCAAGAAAATAAACGAAATTTGCTGTTAGGTGATATTGAGTCAGCTCTGACTCATAGCAACCCTGTGTACAACAGAATGAAACACTGACCAGTCATGCACCATCCTCACAATCCTTGTTATGCCTGAGCCCATCATTGCAGCTACAGTGTCAATTCATCTCATTGAGGGTCTTCCCCATTTTCTCTGACCCTCCATCTTACTAAGCTATGATAGCCTTTGCCAGGGACTAGTGCCTTCTGGCAACATGACCAAAGTAGGTGAGTAGACTTTGGTCTGGCCATTTTCACTTCCAAGGAACATTCCAGCTGCACTTATTCTAGGACAGATTTGTTCATTCTTCTGGCAGTCCATGGTATTTTCAGTATTCTTTGCCAATACCACAATTCAAAGGCATCAACTCTTCTTCAGTCTTCCTTTTTCACTATCCAGCTTTCACATGTATATGTTGTTGTTGTTGTTGTTGTTGTTGTTTGCAGTCGAGTCGGCCCCAACTCATAGCGACCCCTCCTTGGGTTTGCGAGGCAGTATCACTACGGAAGTAGGATTGCCCAACCTTCCTTCCGAGGAGTGGCTGGTGGGTTTGAACCGCCAGCCTTCTGATGAGCAGTCAAGTGCCTTAAGGCACTATGAAGAAATACCATGGTTTGGGTTAGGCCCACGTTCATTTTCAAAGTGACATCTTTGCCTCTTAACACTTCAAAGAGGTCTTTTGCAGCAGATGCGTCTGATTCCTTGACTGCTGCTTCCATGAGTAATGATTGTAGAACAAGTAAAATGAAATCCCCAACAATTTCAATCTTTTCTCCATATATCGGGTTGTTGCTTACTGGTCCAATTGTGAGGATTTTCATTTTCCTTATATTGAGGTGTAATCCATACTGAAGACTGTAGTCTTTGATCTTCATCAGTAAGTGCTTCAAGTCTTCTTCACTTTCAGCTAGCAAGTTTGGGGGGGTGGCAAAACACAGAGAAGACTAGCAAGAAATGAAACCAAGGCAAGCAGACTAATTGGGTGGCTATAGATGAGGTGTAGACAAGCAATACTGTCAGCCTGAAACGAGGCATATAGAAGAGATGATGAGAAAGGAACAAATTCAAGAGATACTTCTGGACTCAAAGTAGCAGTAGTCTGGGCTGCCACTAGACTGTGGCCTTCTTTCATAGTTTCTGGATTCCTGATTACCACCTTGGTGCTGACCCATCCTTGAATAACCACTCACTTTAGCATATTTTGGCTTTCCAAGTTCCATCCTCTTGTCTGTCACTGTGCCCTGCTATGCTGTGCTATGACACCTCAGACTGG